AAAGTTTATTCAATATATTTTTAGCATGGATTCACTAGCCAATATTCTTTGATGTTGAAATACATATAAATTAAAACAATTCATAAAAAAGTAATTACCTTCATACTATTAAGTGCCAAATGCGTTTTCCTCTAGAAATTTGCCAAATACTGCCAAAACTGTGATGAAGCACCCCTACATAATACAAACTAAAGAAATATGTTAACATTGGTATTATTCTTACATTAAATTAAAATAATTTCCTAATTAATAACAAACTCAGCATAACAAAAAATTATATTAAAAATTATTTTCTCATGACCTTGCACTGTATGAAAACCAATGATACAAAACTCTAAGATACTTCATGGAAATCTGTATCACATGGCCGTATGCTAAACTAGTGACAGCATTCCAACTGGTTCGTTCTACAGGTTGTTCTTCTCTTCAGAATTTCTATGGTTTCTTGGGCAATTACAATGAGCTCAATCCATCAAACTACCAATTGGCCTGCAGGTGATGGATGTACAGTACATAAATATTAAGTCCCACTTGCATGAAACTCTTATGTTACAGCCCTTCTTTATAAAAGCTTTACTGGTCTAGGAAGCATGGAGACCTTTTTCACTCGCATTAAACCTTCCTTTTTCTTCTTTTTTATTAATCATCTTCATTGCTATTTGAAAGTTCTAAAACCTGTTATTGAAGCTCCTATCTCCTTTCATAAATGACAAGTCTTAAGTATATTAATATTCCTTGCTGCAAACCAGATCAAAAGCCAATGCAATTATAGGTGGTATTTCTAGCTGGAAATTAACCAACTTACATTTTATATATATATATCTATATATATGTACGAAAAATAGCTGTTGCATGATATTCAGATAATCTTAAAATTATTCCATTAAAAGAATCTTAAGTACCCAAATATGACATAGAACAACATTTGCTTTGCAGGAATCATTAACTCTAAATATTTTACCAACACTGTCCAATATAAATCACATCCCTTTCCACACATGTTTATGTACAAATATTATAAAAGGACATTACTCTTCATGAAATTTGACAGTGGCAGCATCACTTACAATACTCAATATTTTATAATTTAGAATAATGATACCTCTCTAAATTCTAGCAATTAGTATTAGTTAAATAATCCATACTGTTCCACCTCCATCCAAAAGGAAACTTTTATAATATTTCCAAGCAAACCATGGGCTTGTTAGAAAATATTGTTACTGTCCATGGCAAAAAACAGATACCTGTCCTCCTAACCTTATTCTCTGCTTATTCTTTTACACTGAATTGCTTCCAAGATAAGAGCTAGAATGCCCTCCACAACAGGATTAAGGATGAATACATAATAGCTTCACTTTGGCCCCAACATGGACAACAACATGCTGAGTTTTTAAAAGCCCATGACTACACTGCAATCTTTGACTGTCCTCAACAAGGAGAAATTGTTCAGCAGCTATGAAGGGTCGTGCTATGAGCAATCCCTCAGGTAACCCCTTAGCAGGGCTTGAGGTTCTCTAAGGCATAATATAGAGGAAGCTAAACAATGTTGAAATTACTGATTGAAGGGCAAGACTGGGTGTTTGTCATATTTCTGAAGGGAGCTCCTCTTATATCATGAGCCTCTCAGTGCGAATGACGTGGCTCAATCAACAGCAGCCCAGACTTTGCCCAAGCTACTCCCATCGCTGCCACTCAATTCTTCTAGTTCACTATTACTACTGGTCCGGGGGAAGAGGTTTCAGTTCCTTAATCTGCTTAATTAGATAAGCTTTCTCGTCATTGAACTGCTCATCTTCGGAGCGGTCTGTGTGGAAGCGCGTCAAGAACTCGACAAGCTTGTCCTGGTTCCGTAAGAGGATTTCCAGGATGGGTCGGGGCTTGTCGGGGTTGGCTACAAAGACCTTAAACACGTGGAAGGCTTCAAACTGGATATTGCGGGATTTCTCCTTTAACATTATCATCATCAGTTTCAAGTTATCAGGGTTGCTGATGTATCGTTTCATCACCTGAAAAATATTGTATTGTTATAAAACACATTCTATGGTATTAATTTCCCCCTCTCCCAATATCACTCACTGAGTTATCTCCATAGTTTGCACACATACCATACAAATACTTACAGAAAAGTTATGTCTGTCTAATAAAAGTTCCCCAAGTAACTTGAGTGACTGTCTACGAGTCACATAATTCTCCGAGTTTAGAAGATGTTCATACTGTGTGAACACTCGGTCATAATTCTGTTCCAAGAACTCTGCACACAACATCTTGTGTTTTGTCAGGAGTTCCTGTAAGAAAGAGCAAACATTATATATAATGTTTAAAAAAATTGCTGTCAAAATAACCATACAACAGTACCACAAAATTGAAATATTGGTCCATCTTCTGATTTGTATAAAATAAGCATTATTTTAGCTGTTATGAAGACTTGAAAACATTGTACAATTAGGAATGGACCCAAAATTTTGAGTAAAACTTTAATTTTCTTCATTTTCTAACTCTTTGCAGTAAAGATATAAACAAGAAGTATTCCCAGAAAGCAAAGAGTTTAGATAGATAATTTCTTAGCCTTTATTCTGAATCTCTAAAAGTATTTCACCCTTTTAGCATAGATAGCTTTGGTGGTAATGGTGACTATCATACATGAAATAGAAGTGATCTATATGACTCATGATAGGGGAGGCCACATATGAATCTATAAGCTGTGTTTGTCATTCTTGCTGATCCCCCGACCATTAATTTTTTACATTATTTATAATGATAAAGTAGTAGCATTAATACAATATGTTAATACAGTTTGCACAAAATTCAACTGCTTATTTATCAATTTACCTATTTTTATTTGACTAAGACCATTCCTTTTTCATATTATTTGTAATAACAAAAACTGTAACTTTACGAATATGTTCACATAATCTGATGAACAGTATATGTAATTCACAGAAAAATATTAATAGCTTTAGAAATAAACATATACAACATCCATAATACAAAAAGGTATATGTTTCACACACACACAAATATATGCACAAGTTCACACAAAATGAATATCAAAAACTAATGCCTCTAAACAATGACACGAGTTACCCCTCAGGTACACAAACAACAATTACCTTAAACGTAGAAAAGGCATCAGATGCGATGTCAAAGGTTGACACTTCCACATACTTGAAAAAGTTATAGAAGTCGTCACTGTACAGAATAATTCGTGTAAGAGCCTCATACCTGGCACACTCTCGCAGCATTGTGCCACAGTGTAGAGCAATGTCTTGGTGTTCATATCTGCAATGCCAAACCACAGTTATAAACAATGTCAGTGGCAATTACTAAATACAAAACTCGTGTGCATTTCTCTTGTCTTTCAAATAATGACTGAGCAGAGAATTAGACTGCAAAAAATAAGAAAAAGGAGCTAAAAATTACTATGTCAAAACAAAAAAGGGATTAATACAAGAAGAAGAAAAAGAAAAAGAACGCAAAAATAGACACAAATACATACATTCATAAATACATATATACAGAGTTGGGAAGTACCTCAACTAATTTAGACTTGAATATCTCCTGCTTATAAATCTATGTGATGAAAAGTCCCAATGTCTTCAACCACTAGGATAATAACTATCAAACCACCGAGAGTATCTCTAGTAGTATAGTTTGGGAAAAAATCACGAGTACTTCAAGAAAAGTATCATCCACCAGACCTTTCCTATCTCTTGGTATTAATTTATTTTAAAGTACTGCTAGAGGTGTTTCTGTATATTTGGATAAATTCATCTAGAAGCTATAGCATATAAATATGCAAGTATAGGTCAGTTTTAACATCTTAAAATAAAGGAAGTACCTCCAACAGTGTACATGTAAATATATACAGTACATATATAAATATAAGCATGTGTAGTAAACTTCTATGTATGAACTAAACTTACTAGCAGTATTTACAAATCACAGATAAACAAAGACAGACAGACAGACATGAAGGCAGGTACATGCATGAGCGTGCACATGCACACACACACTCGCGTGTTCGCACACACATGCACCCCACCCCCCCAATGCAGGAACGCATGCATGCACATGTGTGCGTGTGCGCACACAGACACAGACACAGACACAGACACAGACACAGACACAGACACACACACACACACACACACACACACACACACAAAAAAAAATTTGAATGACAGTAAATAATATTTGGCATCTGTCACTATTACATCATACCAATATGATAACAGTGTAGGATCATTGCATCTTTTAATGTTATCACTTATCTGTACATACAAATTCCTTTTATACAAGAATATTTACTAATACAAAAACAGTTTGGCATGTAAAACTATTTTTTCTCTTGCTTCCATTGTAAATTTCTAAATTCTGAATAACTACACTGGAAATCAACAAGAGGAAATGGCAACAATGACATTCACTGATAATCAACTTGATAGCTTTTGGAGAAAAAATCCGGACATTACACGAGACTTCCGCTGGAAAACTACAAGTACAAAATTTTCTCAAATGCTCACATTCACCAAGAGAATTGTAAATGACTGAATTTCTTTCATTTCACACTTACCCTTTCATTAGAGTAAAGAGAATCTCAGGTTTAGTACAGATGTACTCCACTGTTGGGGATCGGATCCCTATTTGCCTTCGCAGAATGTTGTTAAATATCTGAGCAACATCCTTCTTGCCCTAAAAATGCCAAACAAATAGTGATTACACACATAAGATCAATGCATTTCATCAGGTAGATTAATGGTACAAGTCAAAAAATGTTGTGAAGGTCATGTGTACATTAGTATCTCTGTTCTACTGGGAAGTTTTTTATGTTAAACATATGTGAAAATGCCAGCAATGCACAAATCTGACCCTAGCATACTGGGTAACTTCTCAATTTCTTTTCAGTCTGGCATGCTAATGCATGAGTTGGTTCAAATTTATAAATCAGTATCAAGTACAAGTTAATGAATGTAAAGGGAATTCCTGATGAGCTATCAAGTATTATACAGAGTGAATCAGAATGAATGACTAGCGCTCTTCTGAGGAGCCCATTAACTCAATGCTGAAGGGCATGACGTGTATGTACATGCCATGCCCACTGCAAGTTACTTGTTTGATTGTTTTTACACAGAGATGGCTACACTTGTACTAAGTCACCAATGAGCCAGTTATGAGTACTGCCTGTCTCGCCTGTTTACCCTTTTCTTTGATTTACGAAAATATTTAACTTTATCTTTTTTTGCTGTTACTAATGTTTATAACATTATAGTACTTATAATGTTTATAATAAAAATAACACCATCGATATTCATAATACTAGTAAAAAATACATTTTTCCCGCCAATTCAAATCAGGTAAGGTCACAAAGTCTACTAACTGATTCCTTTGTGGCTAAGCACTAGCAGAGCCATGTATGTGCAGAGACATTTCACAAAAAACAAAAAATGAGCACAGCATTTTCCCCAGTTTTTGTTCATTTTCCCCAGTAGCATTAGGTTAAACATGTTTACAAACATCAAATGAATAGCTTCTTTTGAGTGAACTTTCTCCGGTCAGCATTGTAGAGATAATATATTACCAGCATTAATGTTTAAAACTGTTATTGTTAACTTTATAACTCAAAACTGTGCACATAAGAAATAGTGCATAGGTATTGTTTTAAAAAGAAAAGCAATTTTAGTTGAAGAATTTTTACTTCAAACAATAGAATAGAAACTTTGTGAAAATGTCATCAAATAAGTCTAGTATATACAGAAAGTACTTGTGCATGCTTTAGTGGTATAGGACTGACAGTCTCAATATAAAAAGTGCATATTCAATCTAAGAACCTTTCAATGACCAAACATTTTAAAAAATGTCATAGGAAGACCTGAGGCCATCTTCACAAAAAAAAAAACAAAAAATGAGCACAGCATTTTCCCCAGTTTTTGTTCATTTTCCCCAGTAGCATTAGGTTAAACATGTTTACAAACATCAAATGAATAGCTTCTTTTGAGTGAACTTTCTCCGGTCAGCATTGTAGAGATAATATATTACCAGCATTAATGTTTAAAACTGTTATTGTTAACTTTATAACTCAAAACTGTGCACATAAGAAATAGTGCATAGGTATTGTTTTAAAAAGAAAAGCAATTTTAGTTGAAGAATTTTTACTCCAAACAATAGAATAGAAACTTTGTGAAAATGTCATCAAATAAGTCTAGTATATACAGAAAGTACTTGTCCATGCTTTAGTGGTATAGGACTGACAGTCTCAATATAAAAAGTGCACATTCAATCTAAGAACCTTTCAATGACCAAACATTTTTAAAAATGTCATAGGAAGACCTGAGGCCATCTTCACAAAAAAAAAAACAAAAAACATATACACACACAGCGTCAAGATTTAAAAAGTCAAATCATATATAATCAATCACTTAATATTATTTCAAAATAAACCAGAAGAGCCAGCCAGAACTTACCTCAAAGTCTATTCTGTGAAGGTTATGAATAAGCAGCAGCAGCATATTGCTGTTGTAAAACTCATGAGCAAGCTGTGCTAACACAATATCCTGAGGCTCTGAATCACTGGTGCCGTACAGCATGGTCTTGATCTGCGTCAGGCTCTTGCTAGTGTCCTCTTGTGCCTGACAAAGACATGGGGAGCACTCTATGAAATCAAGACAGTAACAACAGTTAGCTTACATAGGAGATTTAAGTAAATTCGCTCATGTAATCTAAGAATATGTATTAATGCAATGATTACTTCAAATATTCACAGGTATAAAGATCAATTTTCAATGGATAAATAGCTACATGAAAGAAATCATGTAAACAGTGAAAATAATAAATCACATATATAATCTTACATCAACAATATCAGAATTGCAAGAAAATACAATCTGCCTGAAAAATAAAGTACAATTTTATACATATGGGTAAAAAATATGCTATCCAAATTGGTACTGTTGGCTGCAAAGCTTAATATTAATTAAATTCATCAACCTTGCTCTGTTAATTGTTTTCTGAATTACCATTACCATAATTTTTTTTTCTATTGGCATATTATACATACATACACACACAGATATATATACCATGTGAATACTCATAATTCCACAAATGATCAGCATATAAAATTACAAAAAGCTAAATTATTATTATCAAGTTCTTCTTTTCTACTAAACATTCTTTTGCTAAATTTCCAAATCTGTAAGTGTAGACCGCTATCTCAATCCTATCACAGACTGTTATCAACATTCAGGGATATATAATACCAATTATATAACAGATTACTAGAAATGGGAAAACCAAGGTTATATTTTTGACAGAATATATAACAATGTAAAAAAAATAATAATAAATAAATAATAATAATAATAATAATAATAATATTATATATCTAGATCTACATCTATCTATCTACATCAATCTGTATAGATACATATAAATATAAAATTCAACTTGATGAACATTATAGAGACTTTACAAATACTCCTTAGATATATGATGTTGAGATAACCCAAAAAGAATATGGATAAAAGAAATATGTTCATCCAAACCAAGATTTAATGCTATGAATGTAATTTTTTTCATACATCTGTATTATCATATATGCATATATTTCACCACACACAAAGAAAACAAAGCTTTGGTGAGTGCCAGCAACTGAACTGAACTGAACATATTACACACACAAAAAGCCAAACACAAAGAAATAAAAAATGAAGGTGACACATACTTTTCCACTGACCTTTTCAGCCTTTTTGTCAGACCGTTCGAGTGCCGTGAGAGCATCCTTGAGGGCTTTGGACACCTCCTGGGGGCTCTTGGGGCTCTTGCGAAAGAGGGACATCGCGGTGGCCTTCTACGCCCACGGTTTATAACACCATCACCTGCCGATGTTTGGAGTAATAGTGTCAGGAATGACAGAATGTTATTTGTACTCTTCTTTTAAACCTTTTTAATCTTCAACTACAGTACTCGTATTTGCCTCTATCTGACGATTAACACCGACTGCTTGTGTAATTTACTACACCATCATCTGCCACTGCAAGTGTGAGAGTGTTAGGAATGTCAAAATGGCAGTATTAAAGTGCTTTTAATTAACTTTCCACTTCCTTTTTTTCAGGCCTTCACTATCCTCTCTGTTTCTCTATGAGGGAATAGGCCCAAGAGTAAAGTATGTGAGCACAAAGCTATCAGTATGAATGGAAGAATGGAGGTTTGATTACTTAATCCACCATGAGAAATAGGCCACACTAAGCTCAAATTTTCAATAATAATACAAGTTAAACTATTCACAAGTTCTTGCTTTGCAAATGTGCAAGTGGGTCAACGTAAGTGAATGAATGCGATATTACAAAAATATAGTTCCTGCCAGCTACACAGATAAACTTCTACTACCACACTAACTGATTACACTCACATACTTGTCTCTATCTAAAGAGGTAGTCCTAGATAAGCTGGTCGCTATTAACTGTGCCTTAACAGATAAAGACAAAAGATTAAGCACATCTATAAAACACCAATCTGATGCAAAGAATGTAACCATCAAAATGTGTGTGTATAATATATCAAATATGTATAAATGTACATATATATACTAACATATGTACCCACGTATGTGCATGTATACATGTATGTATCGGCACAGACGTGTGTATGTGCGTGTGTGGGGGGAGTGCCTATATAGCCATATCCATGTATGTGTATGTATATATATATATATATATGGTGTATGCATGTATGTGGTGTATACATATATGAGATGTAAACATATGCATGGTGTATACATGTATGTGGTATATACATATATGTGTGTATTGTATGCATGTATGTGTATACTGTTTGAATGTATGTATGTATGCATGCATACAATACACACATACATGCATACACCACATACATGTGTGTATGTATGTATGTATATACGTATTTATGCACGTATGTATGTATATACGTATTTATGTACGTATGTATGTATGTATGTATGTATGTGTATGGATGTATGTATGTTTGCATGTATAGGTATGTATGTATGTGTATGGATGTATGTATGTTTGCATGTATAAGGTATGTATGTATGTGCATGTATGTATGTATATGTGTACGTATATGTATATGTTTGTGTGTACATGTATAGGTGGGTGTGGGTGTGTATGCGTATAAGTGTGTATGTATGTATGTATGTATGTATGTATGCATGTATTGGTGTGTATGTATGTATGTATGTATGTATGTATATATGTATGTATGCATGTATTGGTGTGTATGTATATATGTATTGGTGTGTATGTATATATGTATTGGTATGTATGTATATATGTATTGGTGTGTATGTATATATGTATAGGTGTGTATGTATATATGTATAGGTGTGTATGTATGTATGTATGTATGTATGTATGTATGTATGTATATATGTATGTATGTATATATGTATATATGTATGTGTGTATACATGTATGCATGTATGTGCCTGTATGTATGTATGTATGTATGTATGTATGTATGTATGTATGTATGTATGTGTGTGTGTGTGTGTGTGTGTGTGTGTGTGTGTGTGTGTGTGTGTGTGTGTGTGTGTGTGTGTGTGTTTATGTGTGTGTGCGTGTGCGTGTGCGTGTGCGTGTGCGTGTGTGTGCGAAAGAAGTGTTGAGAGAATCTGAGCGTCACAATCTGTTTCATTTCATTTCTGCGAATGCCATGTAAATTTTGATGTCATAAAATTGATATCTATTATTACAGGCACATGGGTTCAGTTTTGATCAAATCCCTCTGTCTGTAATGCATCCATGTAATTATTTTCAGACTACTATGATTTCCACAGTAGTAACCATAATCAAGTCTACATGGCACAAAGTTGATTCTTAACTCAACTCAAAACCTATAACACTGATGTGAAGTGGAGTGTAAGCGAACAGAAACCATTAAGAGGTTACTCATTAATGTGTGTGTGTAACCTATCTGCTTAATCAAACAGATTTACACAGGTGATAAAAAGGCTGATGTGGAAATGAGCTAGTTCTCTGCAATCTGCAGCTTGTATTCCAATAGTTTTTTTTTCAATCAATCTGTCTTTTTTTTGGTGTAACATTTTGGTACCATAATTTGTATTACTAATTCATTCTTTTGTAAGTGATACTGTTTTTTTTTCTCATAGCTTCAATGATTAAAAGGCTAAATATATATATGAAGCACAGGTTGAAATCTACTTTAGTATTTGAGATGTATTTTGCTTACATGAAAATATTTCCAGTCACAAGATGAAAGCTCATCTAAATATGGCTTACTAGCTACATATCAATCACTGTTAAAAAATTAAGACAATCATAATGATAAAACCATCCATTATATGGCAATAATTATATCAATTACTTTGTAGACTTTCTTTTATCATGACTTACAGGTATGCAATCAAAGCATATATACATCCATCAAACTAAGCAAATACTTAGGCAGTCTTGCAACTCATCAATATGCAGAGAACACTGCAGTTTTGGAGGAAACCAGTGGCATCCAGTTGAGATTCTATATGAAGTTGGTTTGAACAGGTGGCTAAATCCTTTACAACATTTCTATTTCATTATACTTCAGTCAGTATAACACATACTTCCAAATCTTATGCATAGGAGTTTATGTGCAATTGTTTCTTAATGTATTGGTAGCCTGTGACTACAATCAATATGCCATGACAAATGTCCAAAGACTGCAGTAGCTGTACCAAACATTTTTATCTGAATAAGTACCATGTCTAGCTAGGTAGATTACCCCTTCTACTTCGAGTAATCTGGAGTCTTAGCCCCCAAGATGAACAGCTTATATAGATAATTCAAACCTTGTCTGAAAAATTATAATGGCAAGTTCTATTCTGTAATGTATCTACGCATATACACCATCACTGAATTCTAACAACTAATCATTTATCTTCTGTTCTTCTCCTCCTTCAATTACAGTTGTAAATCCTTGAAAGATTTCAAAATCACTGTTTAGAGGAGTTAAGAAATTACTAGGAAATAAAGAATGAACAAAGTTACAGAAAAACTTGGCTAAAAATCAAACTGTATTTGCAGTCTTCTTACCACCCATGAATTTACTATCGGCAAACATACATACAGACTCTTATCACATACTCTGTTCTGATAGCCCAGATTACTCAATAACACACTAAATGAAATACCACCAAACCATAAATGCTCTTGTTGTATCCAAAACATGAGCAATCATCTCTCACTTGATATAATAATAATAATAACAACAAAAATTAGAATTGAAGATTAATAACTAATAATAATAATAATAATAATAATGTATTTATAAATAAAAAATAATATTAGTGTCCCATTCAAGATGGTACAATTATAATAATATACATCTATTTTTCATAGCTCTAAGTCTAGAGGGGGTGGGGAAAAAATCCAAAAGTGTATATCACTACAATTCTTCAGTTTTATGCAACTACTCTTATATTTTTTTTCAATATGGCTGATTATCACTTTAGCCATCAAGACTATGACATAAATATACTATAACTGTATATGAACAATAGTATGATTTCATTCTAAATATTAACATCTTCAGTACCATACCAAAGAATGCAAACCCTTTAGCTTTAAACAGGAAAATTAATATCAAGATGTCACACCAATAGTAATCACAAAAAATCTTTCAAATCTGGAAATCCTTAGTAAAACATGATATACAAATGAAATCCTTAACCAAAACTTTTTTTGCTTAGGCATTGTAATGTAAAGTGATAACTGTAAACTTGTAGTGTTGCATCTCTCATCCATGTTTCTAGAAGCATTTAGTTTTTTGTTATCCAAAACTTTTAGTCATTTGCTATGACTTGTATTGATTTCCATCCTTATAAAAATGATGAAAGAAAAATGGGCAAGTATATCTAAAAAACGAAAAAAGACCTAAAAATAAAATAATAAACTAAGATGAAATCTAACAGAAAATGGAAGTCATATCAAATATCTATAAATCCCTTTTTTTCCCCCTTTTAGATTTTTACAGTCCTCAAAACTACTTATCTTGAAAATCTATATCCATATCTACAGGTGAGCCTTGATTTATAAAAATCTGATGTGATTAAGCTTTCCCATTGCTTCCATTTTCTCTTCAATACGAGAAACTCACATGAAAAAAATATTCAATACATCTGTATATAAAATCAATCATGCACACTTCTGGACTGTATTTCTCAATTATTTAGGTCTCACTCTTAAAATATATGTACAAGTCTATGATTTTCTGTGTAATACAATATTACAAATAATGCGGGTTTAAAACTGACGAGAATTGAAATGCTTGAAGATAAAAAAGAAACATTAGCTTCTGAATTATAAAGGAGTAAAACTGCCATTCTGCAGCATAATATAATCTGTGCAGGTGACACATAATGGCTCAAATATCGAAAACAATAACTACTGTAGCACATGCAATTGCTGCGGCAAAGAACAACATATGCCAGCCATATATATTCCGACAAATTAAGAGGTTGTAAATCTTTCTCGGAATCTATTGTCAAATAAGGAACTAGGTTAGTATATGCTCTATCTTGGATATATATGGTAGAGATTTGCTGAGCATTGCTAAAGCACCGAGGTCAAGGCATTTACTTGATGCAACTTTATTTTGGATAAGTAATCACATGGATATACTGCTCTTATCAGAAACTATTTCTTCCCACATTTCTGAAATTCCTGTTACATCAATTTCATTTTCAACATTTACTTAGATACATTCAGCAGATGAACTTGATCTTGATTCGTGTTAATGTCATTCTGAGCTAAGGATTTCATAAAACTGCAGCCATCATTACACTTCTCCACTTCAACTTTAAAATCTGACTCAGATAATAACAACGGTTTATATATTTTGTTTAAAGAGAAAATATATCAACATTATGTTATCTCATATACTCCTGGCTTTTATAGCTCATGCTTAGAAGCAGCTTGGTGTCCACTACCAACTCAATGCTTCTCGGTGTTTTAGCAAAAGCCAACTAGTCTACCTAATGTATAATATATTTGCTCCAAAGATATAGCTTGTAGACCATCCTAGTGATTTATCATTAATCAAAGAACCAATCCAAGCACTATCTTCCCAAACCTTGTACAGTGGAGGTTTGATGGCTTTTACCGGAGAATGAATTTTTATTTGCTTGTATGCTCTCCATCATAGATTCTAGCAAGTTTCTTGTCGATTAAGAAATAATGGTTATTTTAAAGTCACAAATGGTTTCTCCTAACATTACCACCTCTAATATCTTAGTTTTTCTTGAACTTGAGTTACAGTTCGGCAGGAACTTGGATACAAATGTTCATAATCACCACAATATTTCTCACAAATTACTAGAGAGCACTAGTCGTTCAAGATTCACATGTTTCACAGTCTTAAAAATTGGCCTAAACACTCATTTTCAGACACACAAAAGCACATGTAAAAAAAAAACAAAATCCACATGTATTCTGGCTTCCAAGCACGCCTGTGTGGAAACCAGAAAACAAACACACTCACTGAAAGGACTAAACACACACACTTGCCAAGAATGCAACACTTGCTGCATGGCTTTAAAAGTGATGCAATCTACCACATTCATTGCAAATACGATGCAAATACAGTTAATCTGCCCGATTTTCGGGACTCTGCACACTCCTCGGAAATGCTTTAATCCCCTCCATTAATACCTCTTCATCATTACTATTTCTCGGAAAAACCTAAATTTCCACTTTCCGGAGTTGACGAAGACAAGCCCGTTGAATGAACATTTAAAATCAAATGCCTATTCCTCTGACCTTCTTTCTCCCATAGAAATCTCTAATATCCTTGATAATTACACTCACAGGCACATGACCCCATTTACTCACTCTTAAAGATGTTATTAACTGCAGGAAATCTAGTGTGAGGATCTCCTTTGAGAAAGTGAAGTGTAAATATTCCCTTCAATCAATATATAAACATTGGCCTGTTTCTCTAAGTATTTATCACAGCAACACATAAATAAATATAGGAAAAGTATGCCATCATAGAGCTATCACCCTTATGATACTCATGATATTTACACCCGTTTAATAAAAGGGGAAAAAAAAAAAAAAAAAAAAAAATCCGGGAGACAGGAGCTTCAATTTGTCACAACCTGTGCACCTTCTCCTCCACCTCCACCTACCACCTCCTCCTCCTCCTCTCCCTCACCTCCAACAATAAAAAAGAAACTCCTCCTCTCTCCCTCCCTCACCTCCAACACCTCCTCCACCTCACACCTCACACAAAGCCGCCATACTCACCACCTCCACCACAAAAGGGGGGCTCCAACACGTCACTCCTCCACCTGTATTCCACCCAAATCCACCTGTATTCCTTCCTCCTTCCACCGATTAAAAAAATGGCTCGACCCACCAATCACACAAGCCGCCATACTCACCACCTCCACCACAAAAGGGGGGCTCCAACACGTCACTCCTCCACCTGTATTCCACCCAAATCCACCTGTATTCCTTCCTCCTTCCACCGATTAAAAAAATGGCTCGACCTCCAAAGCCTTGTTCACACTCTCGCCCTCTCTCTCCCTCTCTCTCTCTCTCTTTCTCTCTCTCTCTCTCATCCACCGTTTCCAAACAGCGATTGACTCTCGGTGGGTTGCAAATGTTCAACACTGGAGCCAGGGAAGGGTGCAGTGAGGGCGGGGTGAGACACACACCACACTCTCCAGGGTGATGAGGGTGGTGAGGGTGATGAGGAACGTTGCCAACAGGACGCAGGGGACCGGGGGCTGGGGGGAGGGGGGTTGGGGGGAGGGGAGGGGGTCAGGGGTTGGGGGGGGGGGGAGGGGGTCAGCCAGGGGTTTCTCAGGCACTTGGAGGATGGACTCTTCTAATTTCGCCTTTGGGGTTTGATTTTTTTTTTCTTATCCACCCCTTTTCATCTTTTTTCATAGCTGGACTTTTCATCTTTCCCTTTCTTTTCTTTTTTTTTGGAAATGGTGTTCATGAGCCTCTCTCTCTCTCTCTTCTCTCTCTCTCCCTCTCTCTGCGTGTCTCGTGGGGACGTAGAGGACGGGGGTTTCTCAGGCACTTGGAGGATGGACTCTCCTATTTCGCCTTTGGTTTTATTTCTATCTTCTCTTTTTTCATCTGGGCTTTCTTCTACCTTTTTTCTTTTATTTTCCTTTAGGAATTATATTGATAAGCCTCTCTCTCGTGGGGACGTACGGGGGTTTCTCAGGCACTTGGAGGATGGACTCTTCTATTTCGCGCTTATTTTACTTCTCGTTCTTTTATCTTGTTTTCTTGAGTTAGAATTTACATTTGGTAATTATATCCATAAGAAAACATAAAAGACGGGACTCCTGAAGAGAAGAATTATATGCATCAGTTCCCATAACGTTCCCTGTCGTCTTTTTACCTGCATAATGAAGTCGAATCTATCTACTTTCTTGTATTTTTCCCTTAATATATCATGTTTTCTCCATAACTAGATCGACAGTGTTCTTCGTTAAACACAATTCAGAAAATCATGATAGAAAACTTGCAGTCAGAAAACCAGCAGCAAAGGCAAAGTTAGCAATTGTAAATGATTAACCTGTGCGACAGACAACTAAAGGAGAGAATGGCCAGTAACGATGGAATTTTCTAGTTATAACAGGAAATTTTCGGAAAAAAACAGCTAATAATCTGGAATATAATGCACTAGTATAATTTACAACCTAAATCTCATCAATATTAAAAGTTGTTAGCACATCAGGTTCTATTTGACCCTAAATAGTAGCTTCGACTGGCATTTGAATGCAGGTGTGAACGAGGTTAATTGGCAAAGTGCTATTGGTGAAGAATAAATAACATAACCACTCCACTCGGCAATATAAGGATAACTACACTGGAAGATGATAGAGAAAATAAGTAAACGGTGCAAATCAGACCAGCAGTTCATTATATTGTCAGAGACGAAGAACTCCAAATAAAGGAGTTATAAAGTAAATATGATGATCAGACACGTGATCTGTGGATAATTGCTTGGATCAGGAATTTCACTAGCATATATTTAACGTAAATATATATTACACACGCACGCACGCACGCACACACACACACATATACATACACACACACACACACACATATACATATACACATACATATACATACATACACATACACACACACATACATACATACACACATACATACACACACACATACATGCACACACACACACACACACACACACACACACACACACACACACACACACACACACACACACACACACACACACACACACACACACACACACACACACACACGTATGTGGGGTGAGGCACTTTTATCTATTCATGTATTTGCATTTTTATATATATGTTACAGGTGAAAGCTACACTGATAATGAACAGACCGTACCTATAATAAATATTCGACTCACGATAGAATACAGGGGAAGTTCTGATGGAATACTGCAAGAATGAAATCAAAACTTTTGAGAATAGATATAAAAATATTAGGATAATGAAGAAGTCTGCCTTGCCAATATACACTATTCCTAGGTATGGCGTGGACCAATACGTTTTCAGAATACGAAAAGCCTGGAATAGTCACTGTCGAAAGGGTGACAGTGTTTGAAATTATATTTGAGTAAGTGTACACAGTGGTGTGAATGAAAACAGAAACTCAATTGTAAGATTTTCTTAGAAGCTCAGAAAGAGAAGCCGTTAGAACCAACACAGTGAAATGAGGAAGACTAGGCATTTAGACAGACCTTTGCACAGTGCTTCCCATCTGGTGGTTCATGGTGACCCGTTTGCTGCCTCCTGGACGGTCACTATATATTCGGTAATAAACTGGAAAAAGGTACATGTACTCACAATTCTGTTGACAGTATATCATGATAAAATGTTAACTAAAGAAATCACAAGTCATTTGTTTGACTGTTTTTGTGTATATTTTTGAAGGGCGAAATTCATATCAATATGGTACAGGTTAGGTAATTTCTCAAAACGATTAGAGATTGCAAGATATATATTTCAATTCATAACTTCAGCTGTCTTTCACCTTATCAACTTATCGAAGATTTGTATACAATAAATGTATCTGAAACAAAATTATCTTCTTTATCAATTTATCATTCCGAAGTGGAAAACTACCACATTTCCATAAAGTCGAGTGTTGGTAATGATTATACACAAGGTGTGAGTTTACTTAGAATCACAAGAAAATAAAGTTGAAATAAGTGACAAGATCTAAACAATATTTTTCAGGGTTTATTTTAAACCTTAGAGTTCTTGATCAAGGCATATCACACCCTGACTGAAAGTGGGATATGAGGAGAGAGATGGAATGAGATTGCATGCTTCCATTTACGGTGATGACCTCTACCAAGGTTTTAGCATGCACCGATAACGGGAAGTTGGTCACTCTATGCATACATATATGCACGCGCACACACAAGCATACTCAAGCACAAAACACAAATCTTTCTATTTACCAACCTATCTATGTATCTATATATATATTATATA